AAAAAAAAAAAATCACAAGCATCCACTGTTTCAGGAAGAACTGAGGCACAGACGAGGGTCATAACCTCGGCCAGCCTGAGGGGCACCTGCCAGCCCTGCCACTCCGCCCTGAGTGTGACGGATTTGGGATAATGTCTAAGATACACTGGACACAGAACACGGGACATGCATTGATGCTGAGGATTCATGTTCAGTGAAGCCCAGACTCAGCTCAGCCTGATCACTGTGCGCCCACCTCGCAATGGACTTCAGCGGCAGCAGGAGTTGTGAACTGCAGCCCTGACCTATGTCTTACATTTCTGTCTGTGTCTCAGAGAACCTCTGAATCTCTGTCAGCTTTCTTCTTAGCTTAGAATTCTCCTCTTTCAGCTGTGGAGAAAGAAAAGCTATATTAGAACTAAATGTGTCTCACTCAAAAGGCGTCTGTGCTTCTGCAATTCAACTCTGGCACGTCTGTGATGATAAAAAAATACGTATTCTAGAGTCAACCCACAGTCCACTTACAGAGGAAAGCCATGAGCAAAGGCACCTACTTAAGGCCTCATAGACTTCCCTCTTACTCACATGACTTTTTAGGTGACTGCAATTTTTGAAAAATCTCCACTACCCAGAACACTTGGCACAAGGCCCAAGCAACGGCAGGAGGGACCCTTTCAGCAGGGTAGCCCGTTGAGGGTCTCCACTTCATTCCAATTCATTCTTAGATGGGTGTACCCTACAGTGCTTCTCAGTCGGCCATATTCATGTGTGCTCCGTCAGCACAGGGGACAGCGCTCCACACGGAGATGCTGCAGTGGGCTGCCGCACCACAGACGGTTTTGTCCTGGGAGCCCAAATCCCACCGGGAGCTCTGTCTGGGTTGCCTCTCAAAGCTCTGCTCAGACACGGGTCGTTCACCATGTGCCGACGCACAGCCCCCCTCACTTACTGCTTCGTAACTTATCTGCAGCGTCCGAAGGTGCCTGTCCCCCCGAGACTGTCCGTGGGCTGCAAAGTCTGCACCAGGACTCCCCGCCAGAGAGACGTGCGAGTCAGAGTCACTCAGCGTCCACGGGGGCAGAGACTCGGGTCCCACCAGCTCCGATGGGCTGGAGAAGAAGGAGACGTACGTGCTGCAGGGCGACGTGCTGGCAGCCACCCTCGCCGAGTGGCTCTGCTCCACAGCGGACGGCAGGTAGGCCCCATTCCACCCATCGTCCTCGACCTCGTCCAGGAGGTCTCCAGCCGCCGTTGGGTCTTCAAAGAACGGCTGCTGGTATTCCAGGCCAAACCCCATGGCTTGAGAGGTTGGGGAGTTGCGGTCGAGCCCCAGTGAGTGCCTTGTGGCTTCCTAGAGGAAACAGCGGGAGACAAGGCTCAGACCCAGAAGCCACCGCAGGCCCTTCGTCCTGTTCAGCGTTAGAACGTAAAGGCCCCATCTCGTCGACCAGGGTAGAGGAGAGGAGGGGCCGCCACAGCTTAACGCACACAACTTCCCCAACAGCATCAGCAGCTGCCTCGCTTTCCCCACCCCTCCTGCCTGCAGAACCTCCTCCAAAAGGAGGTCGCAAGTCAGGAGAGGCATGCTGGGGGTGGGGACAGTCTGCCTGAAGTCCCGACAAACTCTTCAGTTACCTTTGCATAAAGTCTGCTGTTGGCCGTGTCCTCTTTCGACAGGCTGAGGTTCTTGGTTTTCAGAAACTCTTTAAAGGAGAACGGATTTGCCTCTTCAAGTTCTTCCAGTTTATCATCTAAAATAACAACAGATGCTGTAAACGTGAAGTCTCCTGAAGGTCACTGGAAGGGAACTTTCCTATTCCTTTCTCTTTCCAGAACAAGACCACATCTAAAATCAGAAAGGCCGCCCTTGCTGGTCCGCCAGAACTCAGTGACACCAGGAAATGAGAAAGCCGGCCTACCCCCACCCCCGCCTTCCCATCCACTAGCCCTCGGTTCCCACATGGCTGCTCACAGGGGCGACCTGAGGCAGGTCCTTGCACTCCCACACAGGCTGTCAGCTTGGCCTGGGGTGCGCCCTGGGCTGGGGGCCGTCAGAGCTCCCAAGGTGGGAATCACTGCTCCACCTCCATCCTTCCCCTACTCACCTAGCCACCTTTTTTCCTTCTCCCTTCCCGCTCTCCCAGTACCTAGCCAGCCACACTGCAGCCCTTTCGGTCCACCAGTTATCTGAGCCCAGGTGCCAACCTTGTGTAAAGCTGGTTCCTGATTCCAGCCTTTGCTGTCTCCTCAGACCTCTCAGAAGTGACTTCCCAACTCCCTGCTGTTCCTCCCATCTTGGGTTGGACCCTCCTTCCTTCTACCCCAGGGTCAAGATTGAATCCATGGGTTCCACCCCCACCTGCCGCCGGGATCCAGGTACACTAGTGACAGGCTGTCAGATGAACAATCCTGCCACCAGGCGCCTGACTGGCATTGTGTGTTGGACAAAGAAGAAATTACTCAACTACGCTACCTCCGAAATGTGTCTCCTGGGCTTCGGATGGACCTTGCTTAGTAAACGTCCCCTTTCCATAGAGAACACCTGCAGAACTATCGTCACCCCACTGTGATCACGGGAAGCCCTTACAACCATGACGTTCTTCCAACATGGGGTCTCTATTGCAGTGGTTCTTGTAGCCCGGGGGACTTTAAAAACACAAGCCTCCAGGCTCCCGCCCTGGAGATGGTCTGCCTTCCGTGGGCCCCGGCAACTGTGATTCTGAAAAAACTCCCATCAGGTCTGGATGCCCTGTGGGGTTGCACGTGTCCTCCTCTGTCTGTGACGCCTCCTGAATGCCCTCGTGGGTTGCCACTAGTCTCTCAGGCCCTGATGTAACCACCACCTACACCTGGCTCCCTGCACGCCCTGGGGCAGGCGGAGCAGCTGCCTGGGCGGATTGAGGATGAACTGACGCAGGTCACTGCCCGGCTGCTCTGGCTGGTTTCCAATCGTGGCCTCTCAGATGAAGGCTCCCTTGCCCTCCCCTCCAGTTCCTGGAAAAACGAGGTGGCCCTTCTGGCACTTACCATCCTATACCGGAACTGTCTGTCTGGGGAGGGGCGGTCTCCCCAAGACCAGACTGTGAGCTGCTAGCGGGCGGGACTGCTCGCCACCTTTGTATTCCCAGTGCTGGGCACACACTGGCGCTCGGTACTCACCGCTGGGCCAAGCGGCGAGTTAACGCTACTGCAGCGCTACCGCCATACAGGCAGTGCGGGGATCGGGGTCCCTACGCTTGTCTCTCACCTGTGTCTCCCACGGAAGCTAGCACCGGACTGGGTACATAGCACATAAACGTCGGCCGAATGCCGAAGAAGTGGGAGTCCAGTTCCCTGCCATGGGGGCGCTCACAGTCTAGCTGGGGGAGACAAGACCGGCGCTCACAGAACGCTGGAGCTGGAATAACAATAAGAGCGACTTCACCGCGCGCCGGGGCTGGCGCTCTGCGTGGTCGCCTCACCTGGACCTGGGCACGACCGGCGAGGGGCTCGGGCCGCGGGACCCCGGGCTCTCCTTCCCCGCCCCCACCGCGGCCCGTCCCTGCCCACCACCCGCCGCTCACCGTCCGGAACGACCAGGCTGCGGGCCCGGGACAGCGGGCTGACGCCCGGGCGGCGCGCGTAGCCCGCCATTGCCGTGGGCCCGGCGGCGCCGGCCGTCCCTAGCCTGGCAGCGGCGGCTCCATGGCTCCGGCTCCGCCCCGGCCGCGGCCCGACTCGGCCGCCCCAGTCGCCCGCAGCTCGGCCGCCGCTCCGAGGCTCTCTCCGCGGCTTCCGCTCCGAGCGCCGGAAGCGAGCGCCGGACCGCCGCGGGCCTGCGTCGGGGGGGCGGGGTGCCGGGGCGGGTCCGGACGTGACGACAGAAGGGGTGGGCGGAGACACAAGATGGCGGCGGTGGTGCTGGCGGCTACACGGCTGCTGCGAGGCTCGCGCGCCTGGGGCCGCCCGCGGCTGAGGTGAGTCGGCGGCCGGCCGGGGCTCGGCCGGGAGCGGGGGCGGGCGCGGCTCGCGTCGCTCGGGACGCTCCGCCTGTGGCTTCCCCACGCCCAGATGCGGCGCCGGGTGGTCGGGCTGGACTGCGGGACCCCAGCCTGGTCCCGGCAGCGACGGGGACGCTTCCCTGCCTGGCGCCCCGGGCCCCGGGCCCCATCCGCCTCCCCTCTGCCCAGCTGCTGGGTGCGCCCCCGCGCTCCCCTCCCGGGCCGACGGGGGCTTGCGGCGGTCACGTGTCATGGCCGCGCGGCCCCTTATGAGGCCGAGCCGGCGGCGCCCGGGCTCCTTGAGACGCGCAGAGCCGGGATTGCGCCCCCGCGGAGGCTGCGCGCCCTTGACTGCGGTGCCCCGCCCCCTGGCCAGCGGGCAGCTGGCGCTTCCCGTCCCCGCCGTCCTCCCGCCCGGGTGGCCAGGCCTGCCCTCCACTCGGCCACGTTCATTCAGGCGGCAGAGGCGTTGGCCGTCACTATGCCCGGGCACCGCGTCGGGCGCACGGGCGCCTTCGCCAGGCGGCGGGTACAGACAGTAGCCTGTGCAAAGTGTCCGCAGTCACGTAAAGGCTCTGAAGTGAACGCGCAGCCTCAGTGATGGAGCGTAACAGGCGAGACTGGTACCTGCAGGTAGAACCAGGAGGCGCAGCCTCTCTGAGGAGGAGACGCTTAAATCGAGAGAGGAAGGATGAGAAAAGGGTCAGCCATGTGCAAAGCGCGGGTGAGAGCAGGGCGGGCTGGGACGCTGAGGTCAGGCGCTTTGGGGATGGGCAGCCGAGCCGTGTTCCAGGAACGTGACCGGGACCTCGGTGCGGGGGTTGGAGGCCAGGCCCCGCAGGTCCTTCCAGGCCGGGCTCGGCTGCCGCTTCTGTTCAGCCTGCGGGGCGGCTGCGTGTAGGAACTGGTTTAACCTGCACGGCTCCCTGAGGTGCTTGTACCAGAGACGCAGCGCTGAGCCAGCGTGCCATGGGTCCCCGGGCCGCGGCGGGACTCGCGCCCGGCGCTCCCTGACAACCCTTCATCTCTCCAGGCTGCGGAAGCAGATCCTTTAGAAAGGCAGGCGTTGACCTGAGGGCCGACAGAACGCGAGTGACTGCACGGAGTCGTGACCACAGCGTCCGTCGCCTCACGTCTGTTGTAACTGGGTCGTTTCTGTGTTTCAGGTTTGGAGCCCCTGTGTACAGACAGTTCAGCAGTGGTGGTGCCTATCCCAGCATCCCGCTCTCCTGTCCCTTACCGGGAGTGCCCACGCCCGTTTTTGCTTCAGTCGATGGACAGGAAAAGTTTGAAACCAAAGTTACCACACTGGAGAACGGGCTTCGCGTGGCATCCCAAAATAAGTTCGGACAGTTTTGTACGGTAGGAAGTGAGTACTGTCGGTCGTGTTGTGGGCGGTCCTGTGGTAACAGTTGCCTGTCACTTGTAATTGGTGCATCATTTATGAGTTGCATCCCGCGTGAAAAATTGTGTCGTGAGACCTGAAAGTTTAGTAACCAAAGTACGAATGGCGGCCATTTTGGTGGTGGGCTTTCTCTGTTTTTCTGCGTTTGTGTAACTACAAATATTCAACCACAAATACACAATATAGTGTTCCATAAACGTTGGCTTGTGTGTGTAGTTGTAAAACCATCATCACAAGATAACAAATATATCCCTCACCAACGTATAAGTAAATCTGATTATTTAGTTGTATTCACAATTCTAATTTAAAAGTTTTTTTCTGATTTTTTCCTTTTGGACGTTGATTTAACCTGTCACTTCTCTTTATTGCCAGTTCTTATTAATTCAGGATCAAGATATGAAGCGAAATATCTTAGTGGAATTGCTCACTTTTTGGAAAAGTTGGCGTTTTCGGTCAGTATCTATTTGTGAATTTTGAGACTGTCCTTGGGAAGAATCTATCGAGTTTTGTTTTTTTAGAGTTGTTACCTTAATAAATGATTAGGTTGCAAATTAATGGCAATACAAGATAATTTGATTATCTGTGTTTTGAAAGCAAAAGTAAGTTTTCTTTTCAAAAACTGTAGTTCAGGGGTTGTTTTGGATTGCTGAAACCTAACTCAGTTTGCTTACTTGTTTTTACTAGTCCACCAGTCAATTTGACAGCAAAGATGAAATCCTGCTTACCTTGGAAAAGCACGGGGGTATTTGCGACTGCCAGACATCCAGGTACACCAGCTTTTTTTTTCTTCTTCAGCTGAGCCATCCTGCCACCTGTTGGCAGCTCAGCGGCAACTCAGCTCGGGCCGGGAATAGAACCACTGTTGCTCAGAGGTCATGCTCTTGAGCGAGCTCTTAACCAACTGAGCCACTCGGGTGGCCCTAACCAGCTTTTATATACAAGCTTATTTTGCATCCACGTGGATGCATTCATGGTCAGAGTCCCACTGAGCCCCTCTTATCAGAGAGGCTGTGGGGTCAACGGCGAGAAGTGATCTCTGGCAGGGGCAGACAGTTGGGTGGGCAACACTTACACAGAGCTTCGCAGTCTCCAGAGGGCTGCTTACCTTGTGATTCGAGCCAGGCATTGGCTGGGCCCTGGGGATACAGTAGGCGCTGACCCCAAGATGCTCACACATGGAGCAGAAGGCCATGCCACAGGTAATGGACATAAGAGCCAGGAACCAAGGCTGGTGGTAGCATAGGGAATGCGTGACTAACTTGGTCTAGAGTCAGGAAAAGAATGACGGAGAACTTGACATTGGGGCTGGTTCTTGAAGGCCTTTGCCAAACGGAACAAAGGGAGGAGGCTCAGACCCTGGGAGCAGCAGGTGCAGAGGCTCAGCCTGGAAGAGGCAGTGGTGTGTTTGGGGGTGGGTCCAGTGTAGCTGGAGCCCAGATGGGTGTGGGTGTTGTGGACGCGGGCAGGTGGCGTTTGTCTCCCACTTGGGGATCACGTTGAGAAAGCTCTGTTGGGGGCGATGGGAGATGGGCAAAGACCACACTGTTTGAAGTAGTCGATTATCTAAATCTGAGTGATAAACATCATGTATAAAAGGTAGGTTAAGCGTGAAAAGTTAGAGTTAGCATGGAGGCAACATATTCACATTTTCAAAAAAGGTCTGTTCAGAAACCTCCAGGTCCCAGCTGCCCATCAGTGAAGTTCAGGCTCATTGTCTAATGTTAGATCCTCTGTGTCCTTGCCTCAAGCCTCCTTCCCCAACTCTCCAGGGAACTCCTGGTCAGGCAACCCAGTTTCCTGACCCCAACAGCTCAGGCTTTTGTCCCTGCCACTGTCCCACATCGTTCTGCAGCTCCTCATCTGCAGAGGCACTGGTGGCCATGTCCCCATACCCCCCAACAGCCTCACTCTGTCCACACGGCAGTCGTGTCTGTCGTACACGGTCTCCCCCTTGTCTCGGCTCCGTCTTGTGGTTCCGTGGTTGTCATGCGTTTGCCTTCCCTGACTGACTCTGTGTCTATCTGACCAGTGCCGTGTGCTGTGAACAGCCAATGCCACAAGCAATCTTTGTCCCCCAGCCATCTAAGGCCAGGCATATTCCCACATTGACCAGTTCATGCAGGAGACGCTCAGAGCATGGGATGAAATGTTTCACCATGGAGGGAGCCTGTGCTTGAGAAAACCTCAGCTGGCTCCATCCATTTCGGCTGCACGTGTGTTTTCCTCCACATGCAGCCTGTATGCAGCTGTGGTTCCCACCTGCTAGGAGTTTACACTGGGACGGAAAAGGGGAAAAGCACCGTGCCAACCGATGATGCAGAATGCAGAAAAGTCCCCACTGCACCTGTCATGACCTCGGTGCCCGGCATTGTTGGTTTTTTCCAGAGACACCACCATGTATGCTGTGTCTGCTGACTCTAAGGGCCTAGACACGGTGGTTGGCTTGCTGGCTGATGTGGTCCTGCACCCCAGGCTAACAGGTGTGTGTCCAGGCCGTGTGAGGGGCCCGGTGGGGATGGGACCCTGTGGGGGAGGAGGGAGCACTGCCCCTGGGAGGAGCACTGTTGGAGCCCTCAGGCTCACCTACCCGTGAGTTGGCACATTTCATCGGAAATACGCTGATGAGTGGGAAAGGCCTGGGTGCCTCACACTCTGGGACATCTCCCTGCACCCTTTGACATGTCGATAAAATTGGTTCTTTCGTTTCCGAAGGGCATCTTGACTGTCTTTAAACACCCTGACTGCCATGTCCTTGTCTCCCTTCCCTTCCTCGGCCTTGCAAATGGCAGGACTCTGAACACTCTGCCAGGACGGGACTAGGGGTGTCCATGCCGGCCATCCCAGCCAGTCTGACCGCTTCGTTTCCTACAGCCTGGCCTGTGTCCCAAGGTGTTAGGTCTGCGTTAGATCTCTGGTCCTTGTTCTGTGAGCTGACGGTCTGTGCCTCGGTTTTCTAAGCACCTTGACGACTATTGTCATCTTATCCTCACAGATGGGAGGGGTCCCGGGCCTGAGTGCCTCCAGAGGGCAGGAGGCAGAGGTGGCTGCTTCGTGGCAGAGCCAGCCGGGTGAGAGGCCCCATTTCACCAGATCACTGCCTGCATGGCACTCGCCCTCTCTCACACACGTGTCCCCAGGGTCTGCTCCAGACAGAGGCAGAGGAGACTGCCAACATCCACCCACCGAGGATGCCAGGCCCAGCTCCGTGCTGGCCTGTGCGGTCTGAGCCATGTCTTTGGGTCCTTTGCAGATGAAGAAATTGAGATGGCTCGAATGGCTATCCAGTTTGAGCTGGAGGACCTCAATATGCGGCCTGACCCAGAACCGCTTCTCACAGAGATGATTCATGAGGTGAGACAGAAAACCCATCGGAGGCCCCAACACCAGGGCCGTCGGAGAGGCCGCCTGCCTGCCTGCTGTCGTCCTCGCAGGTTACGACTGTTGGCAGGACGGTCTTCATTTCTGACTCTGCCCTTCCTGTAATCTTTTAACTTCCTAGTTCTTCCAGTAACGACGCCTTGTCCACGGCATCTCTAGAACGAGCCTTATGTTTTACAATTTTAAGAGTTTCTGTTCTGGAAGTGGGTCTCACGGTTGGCTGAACACACAGAGCTGTGGCTGCCCCACTGTAGCTGGTGGGCCTCCCCGAGGACAGCGGGCGCACAGCCGCAGGCCCATCTCGCCTGAGGAAAACGGGCCGTGTCTCTTTGTCACGCGTGCTCTTCTCACTTCCTTCGTCAGGCTGCTTATAGGGAGAACACAGTTGGTCTCCACCGTTTCTGCCCCATGGAAAACATAGCAAAGATTGACCGAGAGATGCTGCATTCCTACCTGCGCAACTACTACACCCCTGAGCGCATGGTGCTGGCGGGGGTGGGGGTCGAGCACGACCTCCTGGTGGAATGCGCCAGAAAGCACCTGGTGGGCACCCGGCCAGCCTGGGGAAGCCAGACAGCAGTGGATGTCGATCGGTCGGTAGCACAGTACACCGGAGGGATCGTCAAGGTAAAGCGACATGGGCAAGACCCGTGGCCTCGGGCTGTGGGCGCTGGCTTTTCACTACCTGTTTTCCATCCATCTGTGTATTTGTTCTGAGGCTGTTAGAACACACTGTGTGCTCGTGTGTCACCTGATCACACAGCCTGCTCTCATCATGACACTGTCCCCCATGTGGGGATGGGGTTAACTTCGCGGGGGTGGAGCGAGGACGGCTTCCCTAAGATGAGCTGACGTGGGACGTTTGCAAGGCCTGTTCCCTCGTCTGCTCTTCCTGTTACAGCTGGAAAGAGACATGTCCAACGTCAGCCCGGGCCCTGCCCCGTTCCCCGAGCTCACACACATCATGATCGGGCTGGAGAGCTGCTCCTTCCTGGTAAGTCCCACTGGGTCCGGGTGCACGTGTGCATCCCCGGGCCGTGCCTCTTGCCAAGCCCTGCCCTCCGTTCCCCGCAGGAGGGAGATTTCATCCCCTTTGCTGTGCTGAACATGATGATGGGCGGCGGCGGCTCGTTCTCTGCCGGTGGGCCTGGCAAGGGCATGTTCACCAGGCTGTACCTCAATGTGCTCAACAGGTGGGCGGCGCCTCCCCCTCGCTGTCCCCGGGGCAAGGAGGCCCGGCTGAGGGCCATGGGGCCGTGATGCCAACTTCCCGGCGTCCCTTTCTCTGTGTCCCCACAGGCACCACTGGATGTACAACGCGACTGCCTACCACCACAGCTACGAGGACACGGGCCTCCTGTGTATCCATGCCAGCGCTGACCCTAGGCAGGTGAGGGCCCCGCCGCCTGGCTACCGCCTCCCCACCCACCCTGCAGCTCGCAGCTCAGGAGACAGCTACTGTTTGGGACCGGGGTGTGACCCTGCTGTGCTGGGTGAATGTCACTCTCCTGCCCCCTCCACAGGTCCGGGAAATGGTGGAGATCATCACGAAGGAGTTCATTTCCATGGCTGGAACCGTGGACGTGGTAAGGACGACAGGGCACCGTGCCCCAGCACCCCCACAGCGGGCGGGCTGTGCTCTGTGCCCCCAGCACCAGTGTCCCAGCCAGAACAGTGCAGCCCACGGGTGACCCAGGCCCACGGCCGTACTGCTCCCTGTGGGGAGCCCTCCCTGGTCTTCATGGCGTTTTCTAGCTTCCTGTGGGCTCCACGCTGTTATAAACGAAGGGGCTTTTTTTTGGTTTGTTTTATTTTTAAAGATTTTATTGGGGAAGGGCAACAGCCAAGTTGTCCTTCAATCTTAGTTGTGGAGGGCACAGCTAGCTCAGCTCCAAGTCCAATCGGCAGCTCATGGCCGCTCAGCTCAAGGTGCCTGTTCAATCTTAGTTGCGGATGAGCGTAGCCACCATCCCAAGTGGGAATTGAACCAGCAACCTTGTTAGGAGCACGTGCTCTCACCAGCTGAGCCATCCTGCCACCTGTTGGCAGCTCAGCAGCAGCTCAGCTTGGGCGCAGCTCACTGGCCCATGTGGGAATCGAACCAGCAACCCTGTTGCTCAGAGTTCGCGCTCTTAACCAACTGAGCCACTCAGCCAGCCCTAAAAATGGAAACATTTTAAAAAATGAACACTCATGATTCTATTAGTTTCCTGCTGGAGAAACAAGGTTTTCCTCTAATGTGAAGTCAATTTAAGATCAGTGTTATTTGCCTAAAGTTGCAAACGTTAAAAAAGCATGTCCTAAATTAGGAATTACTATATTTAAGGCCGGCCGAGTGGCTCAGTTGGTTAAGAGCTCGCTGCTCTGAGCAACAGAGGTTCAATGCCTGGCCCAAGCTGAGCTGCCAACAGGTGGCAGGATGGCGCAGCTAAAAAAAATAAAATAAAATGACAGAATTTCAACAGCCAACGTGTCAGTGTTCCTCAAAGTCCGTTGGGTGGCATTTCTCCCCAGCCCCCTCCTGTGCCCTTGAACTCCAGGCTGGACTCCATGGACCAAGTTTGCTGGACTCAGTTTTAAATTCCAGGCTTGGTCACGGGGGTCAGGATGCAGAGTTGGTAGATGCTTGTTCCCTCAGGACTCCCCAAGAGCGATGGACCTTGGGGTCTGGGTGGAGCCCTGGAACCTGGGGTTCATTTCCTCGTGAGTTCGACATGTGCCCAGCTTTGGGGTCCCTGAGCTTGGGTGTTTGGCACTTTACCTTTCACATGCTGTGGGGCAACTTTTCATGAACGAGGGCTCAAGGGAAGCGCGTTTCCTCCATATTTCAAGTGTTACAAAGGCCGTATAAAGCGAGGACCACCCCTGCCCCAGAAGACGTGCGGGAGGAAGCGTGGCGGGTCGTGCTCATGACTTGGGCCTGTGCGCACGGGGGAGCCCGTCTTCCTTGGTTCAGCCTGGGGGCAGGGCACATTTCTATAAGCCACTCTGCTGGCTGAGGTGTCTGGCTGTGCCCAGCGACGTGGGGGTGCCTGCTGGGGACCGCCACATGCCTGGCTTTGCCCTCAGGTGGAGCTGGAGCGAGCCAAGACACAGCTGATGTCCATGCTCATGATGAACCTGGAGTCCAGGCCTGTCATCTTCGAGGACGTGGGGCGGCAGGTGCTGGCGACCCGCTCCCGAAAGCTGCCCCACGAGCTGTGCGCGCTCATCCGTGAGTACGCGCGCGTGGGCCCGGGCCCCGGCCGTGCTGCCCTTCAGGCTCTGGCAGGTGTCTCGGCCCCAGGTTCCCATGGTCTCCCTTGAGCATCCTCCGACTGTGTGTGAACTATTTGCGTGTGACCCTGGGGGCAGGTTTTTCTTAGTTTCGTTAGATTCTCAGAGGGTCTGTGACCCGAGGTTCAGCACTGTGGCTCTGTCACGACATCAGTCAGCTGGTGTGACGCTGACACAGCCGCATAGTGTCTCCTGGACTTGGGGTGCTGCAGGGACCCTCGTCCTCCCTGGGGGAGCCCCCCGCCCTGGAGAAGCACAGCGCCCTGTCTCCCTCGGGCCTCCTGCTTGGAGGCTGCAGGGGTGCGGCTTCCGCTCCCTCTCCCCACCTCCCCAACGGAGGCGACTCGTTAGAGGAGGAGCTTTCTCTTTTACTTACATTGACTCCTGTTGGGCTGGGCTGTTCTGCATTTGATGTCATTGTAAACCGCTGACACTTCCCCGTTCACTAAGAAGGACTCGCTCTGTCCTCGCCCCGTGACCGCGCTCTGCACACTTGGCTGCACCTGGAGCCTGTGGAGCATCCGCACCTCCTGCCCAGTGGTGGGGTGCTGGCAGACTAGACCCCCTTGGGTTGTCCCCTCTGTCTGCTTAGTGTCATCAGGCATTCCCTGTCCTTTGCTCCCCGTGCCAGGCGACGTGAAGCCAGAAGACATCAGGAGGGTCGCTTCTAAGATGCTGCGTGGGAAGCCCGCGGTGGCTGCGCTGGGTGACCTGGCCGACCTGCCGTCGTACGAGCACATCCAGGCGGCACTGTCCAGCAGGGACGGGCGCCTGTCCAGGACCTACCGGTTCTTCCGGTAAAGGGACAGGAGCTGCAGAGCGTTTCTTTGGAGGTGAATTCAGTGCACAGATGCAAACGGAGCAAACTGGGGGACGCTTCTCTTAAACTTGAACGGACGTGCCGCGTTGCCTGTGCGTGCTCAGCCCCGCCTCCAGAACTGAGCATGCGGTCATGGAATAAACGCCTGCCTCCGCCACCAGCTGAGGCGAGGTCAAGGGCAGAAGGGCTCAAAGCCATGAACTCCGGGTAGTGTCATACCTCTTTCATGAGTCCAGCGGTCAGGGTGGGTAAGCACCAAATGGTCTCTCATCACCGAGGCCGGTGGGCCCATCAGAGCCCTGCTTGGCTTCCGGACAGGCCCGTGCCACCCACACTGAGCCACCACTTCTTGTGACGGTGCCAGGGCAAGGCCAAGGCGCGTGGTCTGCTGACACTGTGGAGGAAGTGGCGGCTCTTGTCCCTCACCCTCGTTCAGGACGGTGCTGTTCAAGGCCCGTCTTCACTGGCAGCTTTCCTGAAACCAGGTGCAGAAGTGGCCACAGACCTTTGCCCCTGCGCCCCTTCAGTTTGACACCGTGTTACGAAGCCCCTTGCCCTTCATTGAAGGATGCATTCTGATTTCAGAGGTATCGGGACATGCGGGGTGCAAGGGTGTTCCTGGAATAGGTGGTCGGCGGTCACGTTTTTCAAAGATGGGAACACAGGAGCTGTGGGCTCTGCAGGGGCGTGTGGCTGTTACAGAAGCAAAAGGTCAGGTGACTTGGGTCAAACAGGAGAATTCATGGTTCTCAGACTCAGACACTCGCAGAGCCCCCAGGTTCTGTGTGGGAGGGCCTGGGAACCGCCTGCATGCTGCCATGGCTCAGGGGGCTGCACAGATTGAGAACACTGGTCCCCGCATCATTTTTCTGAAACCCTGAGAAGCCCAGCCTCTGCAGTTCGGACGGGAGGGAGGCTTGTTGTAAGGAAGTCAAATAAACGTGTACACGTTAGTGCTATGCTGTGGTCCTTAGCCACCCGTGGGGGCGCCTGCTTTGCCCCGGTGGGGACTGTCCACCCTGCACTGCTCTCCACAGCATGCCCGCCCCACCCACTGGGGAGGGATGAGCCAGTCAGGTGACAGATCACCCGACAGCACGCTTCCTGTTGTGACACTTGCCCGTGATCACCACCTGGGAAAAGCACCTGGAGGCAGACAGGCCAGATCAGCTGCCATTACACGTGCGCTAAGATGGGAACAGCTCAGAGCGAGGTCGGCTGCACCTCAGTAGACGCTCAAAGCTGCACAGCTGGAGCTGGGCTTCTAATCACCCGGCAGCTTTACCAACAATCTACAGCTGCTCACCACCCGACACAGGTGTCTGTTTGGGAAGCTGGTACCAACCCAAGTTTTCTCTCTGCTGGCCACCTCCCCTGCCCCTTCATTGTGTGGGACACTCCTGTTCCCTCAGCCAGGACCGCCCTCTCCCTGCCCTGCATGTCACCGCTCTTGTCCCTTGCTGCTCCCCCGGCACCCATCTCACAGCCCCTAGTACTCTGTGTACATCGCCGACTTCTCCCTCCTCTGCCTGCCCCTCAGCACGGTGCTTCCCGAGGGCAGGCCAGCTGTCACCCTGATGCCCGGAACAGGACACCAGCACAGCGTGTCTGGGAGCGGGAGCTGGACTTGACAACCGCCCTCACACTCGAGTGTTGCACAATTTTTTATGAAGCCTGTGTTCCAGGGACTGGCCGCTTCATTTGCATTAATTTGAGTTTTTAACTTTCCAAGTGAAATTCCATCCATCTAAAATCTAATGGCTGGTATTAAGCACTTAACTTTGATGACTATTAGGTGGATGTAATGACCGCCCCAGACAAATCTTGGTCTCCTCAGTCACCTTAAAATCTGCCATGGTTTGGGTCAGAGAAAATGCCCGGAAAAGATCCATAAAATCACACTTACTTCAAGCCTCATTACCACAAAAATCTTGTAACAGGGATTTTCAGTTAATTGATTTGCAACTCAACAGCACATTCTCAATTTGAGCAGGATTCTATACAACAGGCTAAGTAATTTCTAGAAGTTAGATCGGATTGGCTGTGCCCTCACTTATGGAATAGCTTCCATTTGTAGCAAAAGACTGCATGTGTACTGATTTACAATTTACATTCCATCCTGTGGAAACCAATGCTCTAAAGGCTGGATATACTAGTCATCAGAACTGACTTCACCTGCTCACGTCTGAGGTGTTCACCTTCCTGACACCTGGGGCTGCGGAGCAAACCCTGCAGAGGTGGAGGGCGGGGCTGCCGTCAGCTGTCAGGCATCAGCTGGTGGGGAGCAAACCGCCTTTCTTATCAGGACGCTGAGAACGGAGTGCACACAGACTAGGATTCAAGGGTTTAAGATTCAATATAGCATTTATTTAAAAATATAAATAGGGAAAAATAAATAATTTAAAAGACTAGATTGAATGCCCCCCGATTTCCCCACATTCAAAGCCTACTTTTTTTTTATTTTCAAGAGATGTGATAAGACAGAGCAATAATGGGCTCTAAACCCTTTGAGAAAAACCCAGAATATGGCAGGGTGGCTTGGCGGTCCAGGTGGCAGGGTGGTGACACTGAAGCTTCCAGCAGCGTCAGGCCCAGAGACGCACTGCTTCCACTAACCCCATCCATGGCTGACCTGACACGAGCTAACGGTCTGAAACCAGCAAAGCCGAGGGGGTAGGGAGGTGGCATCGGCTGGGGGGGCCATTCCGGCCTCCTAAGACCAGGATGCAGCCCTGAAACCTCGGCCTCGCCCAGCAGCGGGAACCGCGGTCGCTCCCTGGGCCTCGGCGGTCTTCAGCCTTGTGACCGAGTCCACCTCAGCCTGGTCCCAGCGCGTGTGCTACGGGATCTGGGGCCCTAGGTCACCCCACGGAGCAGCCTCCCAGGAACCGGGCCACCTGAGCTCAGGGGAGGAGGGGCTGCTGGGAGGATGGAGGAGGTCGGACCCCGGAGCGGCTGCGGGCGTGCAAACATCGGGGAGTCGGGGAGAGCTCAGGCTGGCGAGTGACAGTGGCAGGTGTGACACGGCCGGCGTCCGGGCCCCATCTCTGCCTGCCCCGAGGAAAGGAAGCCGGGGTGTCTGCAGTGGAGACTTGTGAGTGAGCAGGCTGGCTCTGGTCCAGGGGTGGGGTGCTGTCCCTCAGGGCCCGCTCTCGCCGTGGTCACCGGCCTCCTTGGGGTTCTGGTTAGGGAAGAAGTGGCTCATCAGCGCCCCCAAGGCGGAGCAGTCCCAACAGCAGCCTCCTCCATCCTGCCTGGGGATTTCTGGTCCGATATTCCTCCCACGTGGCAGGTGACAGCCCTCCAGCAAAAGGCCTCAAGACACGGTGCAGATAGTGCTGGAGTGCTGAGTCTTCAGCGCTCGCTGTCTCTGAATTTCTTTGGAAATCCGTCTTTTAATTCCTATCAAGTACAGTTCGCGGTCAAACTTGCCGGCAGCTAGCGGAATGCTGCGGAGGAAAGGCCGGTCAGGAACAAACAGAGATGGGGCCCGCCACCTGAGAGCTGCCAAGGCCCTGGTCCCTCCAGGCTGCCGGCCTGCCACAGCCCGAGCGACACTGGGAACGAGCCTGTGCCAAGCCAGCTCTGCAGAGAAAAGCGGGGATCCAGCCAGCCTCACGGGCGCAGGGGCCAGGCCAGGTCCCAACCGCTGGCATGTCGCTCAAGTGACAACCACTTCAGACCAACCAGTGGCAGCAGTCCCCACGTGGGGCTGCGGGAACCCTGCTCCTGTCTGGGGCTGTGAGGACACAATGAGACAACGGCATGTACCCAGGTCCGAAGATGGCACCCACCCCTCAGGAGTGGGCAAGGGATCCACCCCAGCCCCGTGGCACAGCCCTGACCCCCTCCCCGGCCCTGAGCCCCCCAGCCCTGACCCCCACCCCCGGCCAGCCAGGAGGATACTGACTTGTCTCTTCCCGGCCTCACTTTCACCCGGAACAGGCCGTACACAGGCCGGTGGTCAGACGTCTTGATCCCAGGACAGGAGGAGTACTTGACGGGGCAGATGTCGTCCCTGTGGCGGCTTCTGTACATGACCCGGTCCTGCAGGAAGGTCCCCAGTCTGCTGCAGGGTTCCCAGAGCCCCTCCCCCAGGCCCTTGTCCTGGCAGGCGCTGGACGTGGCAGCTGTCCTTCAGGCCTTTCCCTCACTGCCCGAGGTGACATCCGCTCCCACCCAGCCCCATGGCAGCAAGCGAAGGCAGCCACATTCAAATCCGCACCCGCCTCGGGCCCTTGTTCAGAGCCAGATGCAGAGGCCAGGCCGGTGCCTGGCGTGGGCCGGCACCAGCACCTCGGGCACGCGCTGCGAGCCAGGCCTGTGAGCCAGGCCAAGCATCCAGGCTTCAGGATGACCCTGGAGGAGAGCACTGAGAGGGGGCCAGTCCCTGGCCCCAGCTGAGGGTCACACGCCGGCGGTCTGACCCAGCTCGCCAGACATGTGTGATGGCCCGCGAGACGCTCGTCGGGCACTGCTCTCACCCAGACGTGACTCAGGAGGCCCCTGCTCAGGGACCTGAGCCCACACAAACCTCGCCCTGCAGAGCCCGCCGCGCTCACCGTGTAAGACGGCGTCCTCTGCTTGGACGTAGTGTCGTACGAGTCCTTCCCAATGTCGAACTTGTATGACGGGAGGAAGTGGATGTCTGGTTCCTGGAAGCCCTTGAAGATGGACCCTGGGGCAGGCACAGGCCCCGCGTCAGACCAGCCGTCGGGGCTCGGGCCTCACCTTCTCCCGAGGCTTCACTTTCTCCCGAGGCCTCACCCCCTCCCAGTGTCACCTCCCCCGGCCTCACCTTTCTTCATCTCCCGGGTGAGCTGGTCCAGCTGCAGCAGGGCTGGCACGCTCACCCCCAGGTCCTGCTTCAGGATGGCCTCCACGGCCACACGCCCCCCGCTCAGGCGGAAGTTGAAGTCTCCAAACCAGAACACCCCGTCGAAGCGGGTGGTGACATCGGCTGGGGCACAAACCGGAAAGCACATGAGCCCAGCCCTCCCCTCATGCCATGCCTTAGCGACAGGCATCAGTCTGTGTCCCCTGACCCCAGAGCCACAGTGGGGCAAGAACCCCCCTCCCCAGAGAAGCAGGCGGCAGCCACCCAGTGGCTGTCTGGGGGCTCGGGGCCATGGGGGGTGACGTGCCCCACAGCTTTCTGGGCTGACATCTGAGTTCATGATGTTCTCCTCATTTCAAACAGCAACAGACAACCCAGAAACCGCATGGCTGTCTCAGCCACAGTCGCCCTCACGCTCACGGCTGACCCCCTGCCCACACCGGAGGCCGTGATGCCCAGCATCACGCATGGCCGGGGGTAGCCACCACGCCACACATGGACGGGAGCCACTGGGCCTCAAGGGCGTCCATCCATCTGCCCAGCCACTGGCTGACGGGGTCACCACTTGTGAGGAGCCAGGCGCCACGCCTCATTTCAGAGTGGCTTTACTTCCGTGACTTTCTAAACTTTTCTGACCTTGATCCTCAAAACCTCTCAACAGCTTGTCTCCACTCCACTCCCCCGAGCACGAGGCGGGGGCTGCCGGGGAAGGTGAGGTCCCTCGGCGCCATCGAGCGGCCAGCTCACCCGAGTCAGAGCGGTAGGGGCAGGTGTCCGGCACGTTCTTGGGCAGGGCCAGGCCCTGGATGGTCTTGCTGTAGTCCAGCAGCCTCTCGCTGACCTTCCCGTCTCCGGCTGCAAGGACAGGGCCGTTGGGCGCCCCTTGAGGAGCAGGTCTGACTCAGGGCTGGACGGGGGGTGGGAGGGGGTCAGTCCAGGCGGAGACCCTGCGTCCCCGCAGCAGCAAGCTCTTGTCACATGGTGAGTGCCTGCTGTGACCCACCCACGCCTTTCTCTCGAGGGACCTGCTTTCAGCACTCAGAGTGGAGCCAGCGGGACGGGCCCCAGCCCAGGGCCCCCGCACCCCGCCTTCCGGACGGTCTCTTAAGGCCGTTCCCTCCCGAGACGGCGAGGAGCGGTGTCTGTACGCGACACCTGGAACTCAGGTGCACGCGACTCACAGGTGAAGTGGGACGTGATGAAGAGGAAGGAGGTGCCGAAAAAGGTGAAGCCGATGCCCAGGGCGCCCTTCGTCTTGATCTGGGACACGATGCGTGTGGTCACCGTGGAGCTCTCCACCTCTGCGTGGGGGAGGAGGCAGAGCTGACCTGGGCCAGGAAGCCAACCCCCCACGTCGGGCCCCCTGCACCGCAGCCCGAAGGCCCTGCGTGGCGGCCACACTGCCGGGCTCAGCGAGCAGGCATCCATTTCCCTGGACAGAGGCGAGGCCCATGAGGCCAGCAGTGAGGGTTCTGGGTGCCCGAGGGGGCGGGGTGTCCGAGGGGTGACGGGGAACGGGCGGCAGTGAGGGGACTGGGTGCCTGGTGGGGACGAGGACGGCCAGCCTACCTGAGCAGAACCAGATGAGGTCCCTGCGGAGCAGCACGGACACGTACAGCGCCCCGTGGGCCGCCGAGTGCAGCATGACGTAATGGGGGCCCAGCGTCTCCTGCAGGCGTGTCTCCCACTCCCGCCTGCGGGAGGAAGTGGAGGCAGGCCTAGGGAGGGGACCCTGGCCCCCTCAAGGAGCCCCTCCTCTTGCAGGGAGAATGGTGGATGAGCAACATGGGGGCTGCTGGGACTTGGGCCAGGGACTGGGGCCTCCCTGTGAGACGGGCTTCCGCCCGCCTCTCCAGTGACGTCACAGGCCCATTCTCCCGCTGCCTCGAAAAGGCTCTAGAGACGTGGGGCTGGGTCGCAACCCCTGCTAAGACTCCAGCGAGAGCTCCCGGCCCAGCTGGCAGAGGCCCAGGGAGAAGCCCCAGGCAGGCAGGGGTGAGGCGACCTCACCTAGAGGCCAGGGTCCCCGGGAGCAGAGCCCCTTCCCCAGGATCCTTGCCGACCAGCAGGGACACCATGTGCTGCCCGGAGCCTGTGCCCCTCGCCAGGTGAACCTCAGCAACCCCGCAGGCACACTGCCAGACCTAGGACAGGTGAGCAGCAGCCGCCAGTCCCCAGGGCAGGTCAGCGATGATATTTAGGGATCGGGCTGGACGCCTGAAGGGGACCAAGTGGTCAAGCTGCTCTTCGCTGCATCGGGAATCTCTCTGATCAGCTGTTTGTTTACCAGGAGGTAAATTTATTTTAAATTCTCCGAGTCACCATTTTAGAAGGCAGTTTGTGGGTTCGGCCCAGGCTTGGCCATGGTGGCCAGTGTCTTGACCCACATGGGGTCTCAGGTCGCAGCAGCTGCAGCCCCAAAGACCGACCTAGCAGTGCTGGTCACTGGGGCCCGAGAGGGTCTGGCAGGCATGGGGCGACCCGGGGGCGGGGGAGCGATGGCCTACCTGTCAGAGCAGCCCTCTTGGACCCCGATGACGTACAGGTCCTGGGCGTAGTCGGCCTCAGCGGGCAGCAGGAGCTCGTCCAGGTTTGGGGGCAGCTCCTGTGGCAAAGCAGTACCTAGCATGGGCTGGGAGGGGCCGGCACACAAGGCTCCTGTCGGCCCAGGGACCCCGCGGGTGCTCGGGAAGGAGGGGCACCGTGTGCAGGGGAGCCCAGGTCTGGGCAGGCTGCCCTCTCCACCTCAGTCTGTCCTGAGGAAGTAGAGGACAGGGGGCATCTCTGCCCAGATGTGCATGTAGGGGGTGCACATAAGGGCCAAGGCTGCGCCTGTGCCCCCTCCCTCACCGTGTCCCCACTCCACAAGCACGTTGCTGCGGTGGTCAGTGGCATCCAACTGCAGCATGGCCCTTATGTGCACCCCCTACATGCACATCTGGGCAGAGATGCCCCCTGTCCTCTACTTCCATCCCCACTGCACCCCGGGGCGGCCGTGCAGCTGGGGTGCGGCAGGTCCTAAGGGAGGTGGGCACCCCACGCCCTCTTCACGCCTCTACCCTGCGGCCGCGATGCCGCCTGCCTCTGGCCTGCCAAGCCCTCTGGGTGCAGGATGAGGCCACACCCCATGGACGGACAGCAGAGCCACCGGCCTGGCCACCTGCCTCCTCCTGCAACTCGAGAAATTCACTTCCACCATTCAGGCCGCTGTCTCATGGGGGCTTCCGGTCATATCAGCCCCCTCGTCCCAGTGGCGGCCCTTCCTTGTTTCTCCCCAGGGCCTGTCACCGAATGTCAGCCAGGACAGCCACGTTAAGGGACGGTCTTTCTGTTCTCAGATCATGAAATACTGTGGCACTTGAGAAATGGCCTCGAGACCCCACTTGTGGCACAGTCACCTCCTCCGCCTTCACCCCACCGGAGTTAGGACCATCTGCTGTCTAGATCAAGTCCACACCCGGCCCCCAGAAATCAGAGCACCCCAATGCAGGGCGACGGAGACCGCCAACCCGAGAACACATCTCTGTGTAAAGGGGGTCCCAGGGACACATGGGATGAGCTAAAGAAGCCGGGGGGACAGAGGCCGCAGGCCCCCCGCAGGAGCAAATACCCAGAAATCAGCACAGGAGTCCCCGCCTGCCTGATAGCTCATCCACGGCCATCGGGGTGCGAAGCACCCCTCACGCCAGGTTTCCAAGCTCATCTCAACAGGTTTCCTGGGCGCCTCAGCTCACAGGCGGGACTCAGGTGGGATATGCGGGGAGCAGGGTGTGGAGCCCCCAGCCAGCAGGAGACACACAGACAGGGACAGCGGTGTCTGCCGCTACTGTGATGCACATGCATTCCTCAGGGACGGGGGACAGGACAGGAGTGACTCCAAGGAAAACTAGGGGCTCTGGGTGACGGTCCCTCAACTGTGGGGTGTTGGGAGTGGGGAGGCTCTAGTGAGGGCAGGGGGCTCGGGGAAGCTCTGTATCTTCCTCTCAAATCTGCTGTCAACAGAAAACTGCTCTAAACAATGAAGTGTCTAAGAAGAAAGAAGGCTTTCCTGCCTAGTCACTAACGCAGTGTGTGGGGGTGACGGGCAGACCCGTGCGGCGCGGCAGGAACGCCAACTTCGTCCCGGGGGCGCCTGCTTACCTTCTGGCCTTGCATGTTCCAGGTGGCGACAAAGAGGGCTACGCTCCGGTCCGGGAAGTAGCGGGCCAGCTCGTCTGCCCCCATCAGGGCCCCGCTGGCCAGGAGACTCCCCTCCAGGTAGCTCCTGTGGAGAGGGCGCCGGACTGAACTCAGGTCCGAGCAGATGGACGCAAGGAGGGGTCAGCTGCAGGAACACGCCTCTCAGGCCCCAGTCGGGGCCATGGCCCCATATGTGCTTCAAACTGGCAGGGAGCGGAGGCCCAGCCGACGAGGAGCCGGCTGGCACAGTGGGAGGAGGGCAGGGGCGGGCCCGGGTGCCTCTCCGAGTTACAGCACGGGCCCCATGACCGAGCTCCCAGGACAGGCCCAGGCGCGGGGAGAAGAGGTCATGGGCCTGGACAGCCGGGCTCAGGAATCTCTGGGCCCCCCAGTCTGGTGAATTCATGGCTGCGGCCTCGGGACATGCGTTTGGGAGTCATGAACAGGAGACGTGGGGGCGGCACCCAGGTTCTTTTCAAGCTATAAAACAGTCACTGTGGATTAATTATTAAAGCCCCATAAAGCCTGGAAGCCAAGCCTCCGGATGTGAGCCCCCTGGCCCACGGAACTGGGGGGGCTGAGTGGCAGGCCAATCCACGGTGGGCCACTGAGCAAACCGAACACCAGAGACGTCACGGGGCCCTGCTAGAAGCAAAGTGCCGGAAGTCAGGCCCTGCCCGCTGTCCCCCCCCACCCGTGAATGGACCTGGGGACTCTACTCTGTGTGGCTTGGCTGTGGTCACCTAGAGCCCCGCCCCTCAGCCCAGCCACTGCGCTTTTTATATTTTTTTTTATTGGGGAGCAGTGTGTTTTTCCAGGGCCCATCAGCTCCAAGTCAAGCTGTTGTTCACTCTAGTTGTGGAGGGCGCAGCTCAGGGGCCCATGTGGGG